AATAGCTACACCCACATATTGCTTTCTACAACAGTTAGATTGGCGCACGGGGAAGGGAAAAACAAAGCCGTATTCTCTAAGGGATCGTTATGCATGAGGTGGGAACACTTACAATTAAAAAAACAAAAAAAGCATGCCCTCTAACAGCAGAAATATGATAACAGGTGCACTTGTATGGCATTAAACCAGGGACTGACTCATTGCGCAACAGTGAACCAGCAAAGCAAGCAAACTGCTTTCACAAGGCAGGGTGGTTCTCATTCAGAACGTTTGAAAGGTCAACATTAGAGATATTAGATTATGACCTGTGTGGTTTTGCACTCAAATATTGGGGGGGGGGGTGTTTTGTTTTTTAAATCTCCCCCCTCTCTTTGATACCCAAGTAGAAGAACTGGTATCATACTGGTCAGGAGCTGTAGTGTAAGTTTGTGGATATGGACCAATGCCAATACAAATATGAATATGTTAGAGTGCTAGCTACTAAACAGCCTTGCTAACCGTCAGATAACAGGCCTGGAGTTATCGCTGTCTTTTTTGCATTGCAGCACATTAAGCACAAGTGACTTGTCTTCACAGTTTGCTCCCGCCCTCCCTTTTATCTGTGCCATGTTGGTCTCTACCCTTGCTGTAAAAAACGCTGCCAGCTTTGATCTCCCACCTGTTTCAACTGCCAGCTGCCTGGGTGTTTTCTCCCATGATGTTATTTAAGGGTGAACCCTTCAGTTACATTGTGCAAAAGCTGGAGCTGTCTAGCTAATTTATTTGAAACAATCCTAGTGAAATAATTATTAGGAGGATTCCAAAATGTGCATGTGAAAAGTGCAACCAGCTGTCTTGGTATTCAGAGGTACTGTGCAGCAAATTACAAAAAGTTAAGCACCAAATGCAGAGGGATCTCTGCCTAAAGTTCAAGGGGTATGGAATTCTGCCCTAAAGCCCCCAGATTCTGAGTCCAGAAAGCCTGTATTCTGCTAATTAGTGGCAGATCCAGAAAAGGCAATGAGTAAGGAAAATAGGCATATTGCACTATGGGAAAGACCAATGAAGAATAGTTGCATCATCATTGCTGCAAAACCCACCACTAGACCCTTCCCTCTCATTTCTTGACTTTTATGCATATTCTGTGAAATAATGAGAGCTAGAAACCTGCTCCTTTAAAAATAGATAAAGAATAATCAAATTATGGTTTCTGAAGAAGGATGAGAAATCTTTCAGTTTCTGTGGACTTTAGGGGAGTTTTAAAAACTGGTTGTGATACAGCCTGGTCAAGAAAAGGATGCAATTTGCTTTGGCTCACTGAGAATAGCTCTTTAGATCCCAGCCCATATGGCGGTATGCTAGTGCAGCTGTCAATCAAACAGAGCCTATGAGGCGTTGAGAGACAAACCTCCTTCTTTCCTAGAGAAAACATCTCTGGAAATATCTGAAAAGTGGACTTTTGTGCACACCCCTGTTAAAAAGGGGTCTCAGATGTCACCCCCAAATAGATAAGGCCTGTCAGAAATCTGATATTTGACACATACGTAGTTGAAGATACTACCATGGCACAATGCCATTTTGTGAAAGTTTTTGTTTGATATCACACACCACACACTGCTGCAGTGTTAGGAGTGGATGGAAACAACAGCCCAGGTTGAGCTGAGCTGCTGTTGGATTTTCACAACCAGCTCTTTAAAGCTTACAGCGATAGCCGAAGGAGAATGAGCCAAGGGGGGAGCTCACCCGCTGAGCTTTATCCAGGAGCACTTATCCAGCAATGTGGTTTCTTTTTAGAAAGGGGTTATCTGAGCAAAGCAGCTGCTAGATCCGCTTTCTGCACGGCCTCCTTCAGCACTGTACTGCGTGCCCTTCAAAGGATCGGTTACAATGGGGAACCACTGTCTATCACTGCACCTGACCTGGTACCTATCCTCTCAGGGATGTTTCTCAGGGTAGTCTCTTCCTGAAGCTTCAAGCCTCCTTGGTGCCATCTCGAAAGAAGCAAAGCCTCCCTTGCCCTCTGTTGATATGTGGCAATTACAATCAAACCCACAAGCTGTTGTAACTTGCGTCTCAGGTCTAGCCCTGAGCTTAGCAGCCCCAGGACCAGGCATGTACAATGCCATCCTCCTTGAGCTCTGCAAATTGGTACAAAAACCAAACTCTCAATTGAATATTTTCCTTTTACCATCATGAGTTTTGATGCACCAACCTGGGCCCCTATGATATATTAGTTGCCCACCCACTCTAGATGTTCCTACTGACTGCGGTGTAAGGCAGGTCCAAGCAATTTTCACCTGAAGAAGCAGAACTGAGCTCCCTCTGGCCTCTCGCCACGGTGCCTATCTGTAGTGGTGTATCGTGGAAGAACAGCCGTAATCTGACTCAGTTGTTAGTTTTGGCCTGGCCTCGGGGAAGATGTATGTTTTGGAAAGGTGCATGTTTCTTGTGTAATAAGACTTCTATTCATTTTAAGAGAAGACAAAGCGAGGCTGCCTTGCAAGCCTTTGGAGTGGTTCTACAATGTAGAGCCAGACAAACAGGGCATTTGTTCTGCAACTGTGAAAGGCTGAAAAGATCCCTTTGAAGCAAAGGTGGTGTACACCTTTAATCCCAGAGCGCGGGGAACAGCGGTATTGACACAGTTGCCTCCAAGCGCAGAGGACTGAAAGGTGGAATTCAGAGAACTCAGCCACTTCATTTGCAGCACTGTTTGCAAACTGAATGCTCCTCAGTGGTTACCAGGTAACTAGAGACCAGAGAATTCTGCCAAACTCTGTGGCATCAAGATTAGCAGAGGCTTCTGTTCCTCTTAAAAGGCAGACATCTGCAGCAACATCATAATGCCCGCCTGACTAATGAATTATCATGGGGCCATCTTTTCCCCAGCACTCCAGAAAACAAAGGGCTTGGTGCCTGTGAAAACTTGCTTTTGGAATTCGAAAGGTGGGCAATGAAGCTTACAAGCACTCCTTCGTTTGTAAAATGTCAAGTGATTCCAAAGCAGCTGAGCCTTCTTTCTTGGAAGTAGAGTGATGGTGACTCGAATTCAGAGAGAGATCTGTGACCACCTTCTTTACAATCACCCACTTGGGATTGGATTCAGGCTTTGCCTCCTAGAAATGTAAGGCATATAGTGGGGTTTCAGGTGTTCTCGTTTGGTGTGTTTGGCCCCTTGCAAGTATAGTGTGTGCAGGTTCCCCACTTGCGACACATCCATGCCATTCAGAGGCTTCCCAGCCAACAGAGTAAAAAAGAGCAATGCGGTTTCTGCAGCTTTTCACGCCATACCAAATATTTTTTCTGTCTGCTAGAGCTTCTTTCATGAATTCTCACAGGCATGCATAGATATAGTCATTTTATAGTATAATACGGAGGTTGCATTGGCAGATCCCAGTGCAGGAATATCTCTGCTTGAGCCACATTTCCAGAGAGCTGCATGTATGTACTGAAAACTGGCATGTGGAGTCCACAGGAACTTCTTGTATTTGGTGACTCCTACGTCCTGAATAAAATGGTCACAGACTCACATGGGGGGATGTTAGAAGAAATGCAGGAACCGGTGAAAAGGGAAACAATAGTAGCTTTTCATTTCCTTCAGTTCTCCAGCATCTGCATGAACTTTGCTAAGAATAACTAATCTCTACTAGTGTGCCTTTGGGAAAAGGACACATGTGCCATCCCAAAGGGGCTGACCAAGCGAGGTTTACTGTTGAATCGTTTTCCTGAGATTTCCTTTGGAAAAACAACTTTTCTTCTTCCAAGTGTAATTCTGTATAGTGGTTAAAAATAACTAGTGACATTTTCCAGGCAACTTGGAGATTGTAAAGCAGGCATCCCCAACCTGTGACCCTCCGGGTGTTTTGGCCTACAACTCCCATGATCCCTAGCTAACAGGACCAGTGGTCAGGGATGATGGGAATTGTAGTCCAAAACATCTGGAGGGCTGAAGGTTGGGGATGCTTGTTGTAAAGATTAGCACAGGCATAGGCAAACTCGGCCCTCCAGATGTTTTGGAACTACAACTCCCATCATCTCTAGCTAACAGTGGTCAGGGATGATGGGAGCTGTAGTCCCAAACATCTGGAGGGCAGAGTTTGCCTATGCCTGGATTAGCATCTCCAATTCATGATGATATTGTGGTGAAACCTCCTCAAGCGAGTTGATGGAGCTAGGCTGCTGTGGTGGTTAAAGTGTCAGACTAGGAGCAAGACCTGCCATATTCACAAAACCCTCTTGGTGGTGAAAGTCACTGGGTGAACTTAGGCTAGTCACTATCTTGGACCACTCAAGGTCAGCTTAGCCTACTTTACAGAATTGCTTCAAGGATAAGATGGGGTAGGGAAGAATCCTGTTTGCTGCCTGAGCACCTGTGAAGATGAAGGGGTTTGACAATGGGGCTGATGAAAGGTGACTTCTTCCTCCTGATAGTCTCGCAGTCCCTGAAAAATGCTCTACGAGATCTGGGGTGCCCTGTAAATTTCAGTATGCTGAACAGAGGACAGAGGACTGAGAAGAACCTTGAAAATTTGGCAGTCTCAGCCCCCCCAACCCCCCACTTGTTCAGCAGGGTCCCCTGAATTTCACTGGAGCACAGGGAGGGGATGCCATAGGGCAGAGGGGATGGGAAAGCCATCTCCTGCCCATCCCATTGTGTGTGCTTAACTCTGAATCTAACCCAATAAAAATATACAGGATTGTAGCCAGTTCTGTTGCTTCACTAAGCATTTGCACACCATCAAAATCTACTCCAGAAGGATGAAGGACCCTTCTGGAGTAGATTTTGAGGACACACAGGGAGCAGAGAAGAAGAGAAAGTCCCACTGTATGAGTGGAAGTCCACACAGACAGTGTCGGATACAACCCACAGAATCTAACCCAATAAAAATATGCACTGCACTGCATCTTCACTGAAGCCTAGCAAACATGTAATCTTAATGAATGACAGAGAGATGCTCAGTATGAGCCAGCTTCCTTGTTTCCTAATTGCAGTGTTGTTTTGTTTCCCCCTTCTTTTTCAGAATTGTCAGACTTTTAACAGCCTTAGCTGCCTTAGCATCACAGTGGATGATTGCTCTCACCAGAATCAGTTCTCACCTGGCATCGGCGGCACCAAGTCATGGACAACAGCATCCCTTTGCACCTTGGACGTCATGCCAGGCAGGACACCAGCCTGCACCCCTGTGCCAGAGCCACACTCAAACGCAGAAGAATGTAAATCTAGCAAAGAAGATTTCTCCTACGAGGAATCAGAGTTTTGTGCCACAGAAGACGAGAGCAGTAGGAAAGAAGAGGACAACTCCTCATGGAGGAACAGTGGGACAGGAGGGGATAACATCTTTCAGTTGGATGGCGAATTAGATATTGAGCAGATAGAAAACAACTGAGAAGACAAAGTGGGATGATCTGTCTGCATCCAACCTTTTAGGAGTGGTAAGATCACACAGGTTGTTAATGCAGGCAGGAAAGGAAGTCCACATTTTTCTTCCCCACTGATGGGTGGGAGAGGACAAGAAGCTTTGCCAAAATTTCATCAGGTATCTTGTTAAACCTTGAAACTCTTTTAGAACTACTGTAGCCCGTGAGGTTTTGCAAACATACTTTAGAGAAAACCTCCAAATTATATCAGCACATTAAAAAACAAAAAGCTTTGTGGATGAATCAAAACTTGAAATTGTGGAATTTTAGAATAATAGCAACTAAAATGTTTTTTTTTTAAGTGTCTGGAACAGGGCTTAAACAAAAAGTAAGGAAAGACCAGAAAGTCTGTTGCTTGGCTTCATTCACAAATAGGCAATGTCAATATCTAGACAGGCAGCGGGTTCATCCTGGTTCATGGGAATCCTGATCCACTTTGGCTTTTGGAAAAGAGTAGAATATTCATTTTTATTTTTTTGCTGTTGGGCAATATTCATTGTAAACTGCACCTCAGATATCCTTATTAAAGGGAATGGGCAAGATGGAGATTAGCATTGTTCTCTGAATTCATTTTCTGTTGGATTATCTTTCAGGTTGCATATCTGATAAGATTCTACAAGGTCTCACAATCTTGACTTTCCAGTCCTTGCCGTAGAATCACAGTAGCCTTTTACAGTCTGCTTGCTCCATTTTTTATTCCATAGTCATCAAGAACGTCATTCAAAGAGAGCGCACACGGTCTGCCCTGATCCAGTACAGTGAGATCCGTAGCCATAAACAGGTTTCCAGCCAAGGCAGGTATATATGAGCATTTGGACACACATTCTCATCAGTGCTCATTTGGTCCATGTTGGACCGACTGGATGCATAACCTCATTTGGGCCCTTCTCCTTTTTACCTTGCAACTTCAGCTGGATTTCAGACCATTGTCTTGAGGAGAGGAACATACAAAACATTTGTGCATCCAGAAATTTAAATAAATGCCAAAGCTAAATTGGCAGTGCTATATCCATAAGGCTAAACTGGTGTTTTGGTTCTATGGTATAAAAGCACAAGGATCAGAAGAGTTAGTGAATAATGGAGGTTGCTGAGATTAGGGCTTGGCATCTTAAAATGATTATAAAGTCTTTGATTATTATTTTCTGGAGTGGATAACATATAGTCTCTTAACTGCATTTTGTACAGCTTGTCACCACCAACAGAACTGACATTATTGGCATGCCACATTCATCAGCAGAAAGAATGGAAGGTAACAACTTGTTTTGCATGTACAGCATCACTTTGGAATTGTTTTCATCTCCTAGGACTAAAAAAAGGCAAAATAGCAATAATAGGGTGTGTACATAACATTGTTGAGTTTTCTCTTGGTCTTAGTCTAGTTTTCCTTTTACAACATACACTGGATATGTCTGCAGTAGTAGAATCATAGGTTCAGCTGTCAAGCTAAACCATGGGTTGGCATAATGCAAGCAAGCCCTGGCCTTCATGCTCCCCTCCATCATGCCATTCTGCATTGCCTCTTTTGCAGCAAAACCAGTTTACTGTTACATCCAAACCACTAGACTATGGTTGCATCTGCCCTCCAAACTAGACCAATAATGATCAAACTGTAGTATGCAGCTGTGATATGGTCACAGAATCATGGTTTGCAGGTTTGGATATAATGGCACATTATGCTTTTGTCCATAAAAAGGGGAATGGAATCAGAGCAGAGGAGAAGAGGTGGGTGTGCAAGCCTGAGGCTTGGTAATGCACGTGAACTGAGCCATTCTGACATTTCAGCAAGGTGATCATAAAATTGATCATGTAAATGATGTCAAATAAGCAAGATAAGTGAAGAGTTCTAGATCGTATGAGTGGCCAGATTCAATCTGGAATCAATCACAGGACTTTAGTAAACAGATATAGGGAAGTTTCCCTGACATATTTCTTAGACATACAAGCAATACATATACGGTGTGTCTTGGGGTTATTTTAGCTATGTGAGATACATAGGACCTGTCTTTAGCGATGACAATGCTGATACAAAACACAGTTTGAGATGCTGATGTTCAGGTAGCAGCACTCCAGAGTTACCTTCCACCTCTCTCATTGATAGTGGTAAACAATAAGCTTTACACTTTAGCAAGCATAACTCAGTTAAATAAGCTGTTCACTTATCTACATGAAACCAATGTTTAGTTTACCTATAGCAGGCAGAGGGGAGGGGACAATAGAGATGACATTTTTAATGACGATGACACCCTACTTTTTTTTTTACTGCACTTTTCTCTGCAGTGGTGCAGATGTTTATGGCATCCAACACCACCGTAGATTCCATCCAAGCTTTAGATTTACAAATGTCCAGTCAAACTGCACAAATTTTTGTTGCTATGTTGATTTCTGCTATTTCCTCCCTATCAGATGCTCACATAATGTGCAAGCCAAAAAAAAGATAATAAACTAATGATAGTAAAGTAGGGAGAGGATTGCTTTAATTCTGAACCAGTATTATACAGTTTGATGCCATTCAAGAACCTGGTGAACATACCTATGAGCCCTGTGTTTCCCAAGCTCTCAGTTTGTTATGTGCATGCCAAGTTAACATGCACTGCTGGTTTCAGCAATTGACAGAACAGGTGCTCAGCACAGTGACAAGCAGATCTCCCCAGGTTTCGTTTGGAATGGACTTTCCAAAATGATCTAAATTTGGCTCAGATTCAAGCCTGAATTTTTACACTCAGGCCCATTAATACAGTGGTGCCTCGCAAGACGAAATTAATTCGTTCCACGAGTTTTTTCTTCTTGCGAGTTTTTCGTCTTGCGAAGCACGGTTTCCCATAGGAATGCATTGAAAATCAATTAATGTGTTTCTAGGGAAACCGCCTTCAGACCAGGTCCGGGGACAGTCTGTCCCCCGACCTCTTCTGAAGGCTGGGTGGGGGGGACAAGGGCTTTTCTTCCCACCGCCAGCCTTCAGTAGGCTGTTCTGAAGGCTGGCGGTAGGAAGAAAAGCCCTTCTCCCCCCACCGGACTTCAAAAGAGGTGAGGGAATCCCTTGGACCCCCGCCGGACTTCCCGCAGCTCTTTTGAAGTCCGGCGAGGGTCCAAGGGATTCCCCCCCCAGCCGCCCGCGTTTAAAAGCACTCCGGGGAAAGCAACAAAGCGCGCCGCGCTTTGCTGCTTTCCCCGGAGTGCTTTTAAAGGCGGGGGCTGGGAGGGAATCCCAAGGACCCCCGCCGGACTTCCCGATGCTCGGGGAAAGCAGCGCGCTTCGCTGCTTTCCCCAGAGTGCTTTTAAACGCCGGCGGCGGTGACCATGCCCCGCCCCGTCCCCGCCGCCCGGCATCGGGGCATGGTCCCGATGGCGGGGGCGGGGGGAGGCGTTCCCGTCCGCTGCCCGGCATTGGGGCATCGTTCCGAAGCCCGGCGGCGGCGGGAGGAGCTGTCCCCGCCCCGCCGCCAGCCTTCGGAGGAGGTCCGAGGACAGCGGGGAAGACGCGCTGCGCTTCCCCGCTGTCCCGGAGATTTCCCTATGGGCTGTCGTCTTGCGAAGCAAGCCCATAGGGAAATTCGTTTTGCGAAGCGCCTCCAAAACGGAAAACCCTTTCGTCTAGCGGGTTTTCCGTCTTGCGAGGCGTTCGTCTTGCGAGGTACCACTGTATCTCAGTGTCCTCTTAGTAATGCCATCAGGGGTGTGATAAAGCTTGGAACCAGGCTCCCTTCTTCCATTTCCCTTTGCAAACCTTCTTGTTGCCTATTTTCTCTGCCCCCTCCTCCTTGTGCTGGCTGTTGCCTTAATTACATGGCAGGAACATGTTGGGCCCAGGGAATTAAAGACTGGGAAACTGCAGTACCCACGACTTGTAGCAGCCAGGGTGCTTCTGTGAGCATGCTCAGGTGTATCCTGGGTGGCCAAGGTGCCTAGAAATGGCAGCTCCCCAGCTTCTTGTAGTTTCCAATCTCCACAGTGCTGTTGTTGCCTAATGAATACAGCCACCCTTCTTGTCATTGCCTATTTCTGCAGTAGAAGTCAAGAGGAGGCTGTGGTGGAAGGCAGGCCGGTGCTGGTGAGCTCAGACGGAACCTGGCAGAGATTTGGGTTTTGCTTGTAGGATGCTTGGGAATTTTGGACTGGGGAAGTTCACACCTTGAACTCTCTAGTTCAAAACTTCACCCATTTCACTATTGTGGATTGCTGAGACTGCCACCTCCTGATCAGAAGAGGGCTTGTTGGACGTGTTGAAGGGGGATTTTTTCCATAGACTCACCACACACTGAAAGGGGATTCTTTACCTTCTAAATTTCTCTATGCTACAAAACTATATTAAGGTACACCCAAGCTTTCTCTGCCTCAGGAGCTGAAAGCTTTTTAGTTTGACCATATGGGTATTGCTGCCCTCCATGAGAAAGCAAATGCCCACCTTTGGGGCTACCCCAGCACAGTAGAGAGGGAATAGGGTAGGGTGTTGTGCTGTGATGAGCAGCAGATGAGTTGGACAGTATCACAGTATTGGTTTGAAATTGGTGAGATGTGTGACACATTGAGCCCCTGCCATTTACCATTATGGGTTGCTTGCAGTTGATACTGAGGGCTGATCTCTTCCACCCATCTAACAGTTCAGGTGGACACGTTCTGTATTACATTTTTGCCCATAGTAAAATGAGCACCTAAGCCTTTCACCAATAAAGCAAAATCACTGCTGGGTTCATGTTGAACAGAAAAATGAAATTTCACTCATCTAAGCCTATGAATGCCAGTAGTCTGAGTTTAGTAGTTAAACGCTCAGGTCACCATGGGCAAAAGCATCCAGGCAAGCTAACCAGCTCATGTGAATCAGTCCTTAGTAACCTCCACAATCACAGCATTCTCTATAGGGTATACAGGGACAGTCTGAAAGCATACTGGATGTGCAGGAATGAACACCATGTACACAGTTTAAAAACAAGTGTTTGCATCATCACGTCAAAAGGACAGAAGCAAAAAGTATTCAGTCAAAGTCGCATGCTTGAATGGTAGTAGAATTGATGGGCTATCTGGACCTGTTCAAATGAGATCTGTTCCAAGGTACTAGAAGAATCCATGAGTCCAATATGGTACAGTCATGTTGAAACAGTCTATTGTTTAAGGCGGCACAGAGATTCTGTGGCACGTAGGGCTGTTGACCGTTTTATGCATGGTGTAAGAGCCATATTGTCTTCATTGGCCCTTCTGAATCTCATCCTGCAAAGAAAGTGCTCTTTGTCTGCTTTTTCCCAGTTAGTTTTCTCGTTTCAAACTCACTGGGTTTTATCCAAGAAAGTTGTTCCACTTCCTGCAAAGTAGAGCTACCCCTGCCTCTCCTCCTCCTGTGAAGCCTCAAAATTGGGGTTTCCCCCCAACCCTCTGGAGCAGATTTGAATAAGGGGGAAGACAGTTCTGTGCTAACAGATCAATTTCATCGGATAAAGCCAAGGTATGTAGCCCTGAATCATTGTAATGCAGCACTGCACCAACTGTCTTGTCAAGATAGTTGTAGACACTGGGTTGGATCTGGACTAAGTTTGCATACTTACATTGAGGTAAGTCTTATTGAGCTCTGGGGCTTACTTCTGAGTAGATATGCATAGGATTGTGTAAATTGGCTGAAATTATGTCTCATTGAAATCAATGGGACAAGATTGTCATGAATGAAGTCCAAAGTATTTCAAAGGGGACTCAGTTCCACTCACTTAGTCTGAATCCAGCTCTCTCTCTTTCAATTTGTTTCATGCACCTGGTGTGACAAAACATACCCCAGCATGATTTGATCAGAGATCTCCCGAAATTTCAGTCTGTTATCATCTCCCAAGCAAACTTTTCTTTAACGTAACCCTCTTACAGTTGAAGTACCTGGGCTCACCAGAGGACATCTTGTGTCACCGTATTACACTTATTGAGACAGCATTATCAGTTCTTTTACGGCTAGCATGCGTACGTCTTGGTTTATGACACTTCAATTTGCCTTTAGTGCTACAGGGATGGCATTTCTGATTTTGGACTAAACTCGTAAGGGCTTTAAGAAACAAAAAAAAGGGCTGCCACCTACAACAAGCTAAATAAATACAGAATAGGAAAGTGCCCCCAAAGGACCACTACCCAACTCTTCTAGCTGCAGTGTAGCGTTTACATGGCAGCAAACTCTCTTTGCCTTAGTAAAGATGCTTCGCTGCATTATGGCCTTACAATGGGCATAGCAGCATAGACACAACATACTGTTTGACTGAGGTTAGGCCAACGTGGCATTTCATTGGATGGTATTGGTTTTGGTTTTGTATGATTTATGTACTGAAACTGAGTTTTTAAAAGCCTTACTTTTTAAAAATAGAAATAAAACTTTGTGGATTTATGAATGTGTGTGCGTATGTATGTATGTATGTATGTACAGACACACATACACACAAAGGTAAATATCTGAAATCTAGTATGTGTCTCGTGATCAGGGACATCCTCTTGACTGTGTTGCTTTTCATAAAATAAGAGAAGCTCAGCTGGATCACCAGTTGTCCACATAAGCTGAAAAGTCACTGGTTGCCTCTGCTAGGTATTCCCAGGCTCCTGCTGGGTTTGTTCAATACTACACAGGTCACTTGGATCAACTCACACAGCATATTCCTGCCAGGTGGATTCAAGAATCTGTTGCTGATGTTCTCTGTACTTTTATTTGTTAAGTAGTAAAGTCAGATCAGCAGGGAGATAGGCAATGGCTTGTTTATAACACAGATCGAGCAATCTGGACTTGGATATTTCATGACAACAGCAATAAATGTTAAGAGTTTCCCTTTTTTTAAAAAACAAACAATATTTCAGATGCAACATTTTTAGAGGATTTTATTCAATGAATTAGCACTGGTGAACCTGATTCCTTTGTATGTATTGCCATCACCCTTTGGGAAAGGGTTTCATGAAATCTTAAGATCACACAATGAAGATTGAATGAACAAAGGCAGAAAGGACGTATTTCTGGTTTTGATTGTAATTTTTCACAAGGTAGCCTAGCCTCTTGGCCAATAACATTGTGTTTCAAGTGCATTTTTAGATAGTTCTTACGGAACAGGACAAGATGAATTTTTTAGGGTTGTAGCAGTGTTTTCCAGCATTTGTTTTTAATGTTTAAGAATCAAAAGATGATGATGGCCAAAAAGCCTTTGGAAAACCATGAACTCTGATAGTGCGTGTGTGTACGTGTGTCTTTCTTTCTGTCCATGGTAATTGCACAGATGCAAACATATTGACATGTATACGAAGTCAGCTCTGTAGTTGGTGTTACGTTTGTTCAAAATCTATTACTGAAGACTGTTCCTTGACCTGAAAATTAAAAAAGACTGCTGATTTGTACTCTCTCAAATGACTTTATTGCACTATAGAGCAGCTCAGTCTCAGGAATTTACTTGTTACTTTGACTATGTAAATAAAGCTTTCTGATTCTGTACCC